CCGAGGGCACTACAGAACATCCACGGCAGTCCTTAAGGGGGTGCCCTTAAACACATTGACCGGGCAGCCACGTGGTCATCGGACCACGTTCTTGAAACATTACGCCATGATGCCTCAATTGGCGGCTGACACGTCCGTGGCTAAGGCGGGTCTATCTGCTGTTACACAGCAGTGACTCCGAGTCCCACCAGCCATGGCGAGTACTGCTTTGTAGTCCCCTAGAGTGGAGCACCCACGGGGGCATCCCCCGAAGAAGAAAAGGCAGTTACCTTGTGCAGTAAGGATTGCTCTTTGAGATGTGTGTCCCTGTGGGTGCTCCATGACCCTCCCTTCCTCCCCGCTACTTGAAGTCCAGGTGCTCTGTGGTAGACAAGGAACTGAGGGGAAGGGGTCAGGCCGTGCTTAACTGTCAACTGCCACCAGTGCGAGAGGCTCACTGCGCACGCACAGCCCGACTGCTAACTGCTATGAAAAAATCTCCCATCTGCGGCACCGGGGAAGACCCGTCACCTACAGTGGAGCATCCACGGGGGGACACCTCGAAGAACAGTCGCTACGGCACAAGGCGCGAAACTTCCTTTTTCCTGGCGTGAGGTGAAGGTTTCAGGCCGGCTGTTCCCCACAGCCCAGGTCTGTGCAGGGTGACGGAGGAAGAAACGAGAGATGATGATGAAACTGATCAGTTTGAACTTTGCTGCTGCTTGGCTGTCGAGTGACTGGCTGTGTTGCTAGGGGTTTCCAGGGAGCTATTTGTGTAGTGAACTTCCGCGGGTTACTGACGTGGGGTCATTTTAAGACTGTCACTTTCCTCAGAAGTTGCCTCACGTGTTGGGGTTTTTCTTGTTTTCTGAAGGGAGGGGGAGGCGTCAGACACAGGGGGTTTGGGTGAAACCTGGAATGTGTTTACATTGCTGATTTAAGTGGCTCTTTTCTAAACTGGTGCTTGCTGAGGATGGTCTAATTCACCCCTGATGGGGCAGCTTGTAGACTCCGGGTCTGGCTGCCACCTGGTTTGTCTGAAGGCCGTGGGGGAGGAGCTGCCAGTCAGAGGGAAACTTTGCAAACTGTGAATTGGGGTAAGGCCAAGAAGCCCTTGGCTGAGATTGTAGAAGCTGATCTCTGTGCGAGTGGAAGTGAGGACCTTGATCAAGCTCTGCCAGCCTGGGCCCATCTCTCCCAGCACCGGAAGGATGCCCTCCAGTGGACATCGCCATCTGGCTCCTTGACTGCCGTCCCAGCACCCTCCGAGTGAAGTCTAAGAGGAAAACTTCATAACTCCTGGGTTTTGTGGGTTTGTGTTAGACACAGGTGGGACCCCCGTGGCCTGGCACCCTCGGGACCTGACCAGTCCTGATCGAGGGAGTTTGCCGGACCAGGGGAGGTCAGTGGTGGCCCCTTACCTGGCTCTACACCTGTCCCCACCCTGGCCACGACAGCAGCCCCACTACCACAGCCAGCCCCAGCTGGGTGGCCTGCTTCCGGCTGATCAGACAAATTAGACTCCCAGCCCTGCTGCTGCCACTGGCCCTGGCCGGGATGCTGGCCCCCTGCCACTGTGGCCCCTGGCTGGGATGCTGCTGCATCCATTAAGCTGCCCCCGCCAGCCAGGCGCCCAGCCACTGGCTCAGTGCTGCCAGCCCCACCTGGCTGCCCCTTACTGCCCAGCTCCCAACTGCCGGCACTCTGGCCCAGGAACAGCGATGTCGCTGGACCAGAGTGTCCTGGATTTTAGAGGTTCAACCTCTATTTAACTATTCAAGCCATGTCGGTGACATTCCTTAGCTGGGCTCTAACCAAATACTCAGCCACCACAGAAGGCTCCTTCCTAGAATGTATATAAAGGCTGACTTTGGGCATTCATTTGGCTTAACTGCATTCCAGTGGCAAAGCTAACTCAGTGGGTTGATTTGTTGTTGCTTTAGTCTTGGTTCAGTTTTAAGATTTTTCGTTTCATTGAGGCTTTCAATAGAACGTGTAAGTGACACTGATACAGCGCTGGGCTGGCGCCTTTGCCCTAAAACCCTGAGCAGGTCATGCAGGCGCAGAGCAGGCTAGGGAGGCTCCAAGGAGCTGGAGTGACACTGAGCGCTGGCTGAGCTGGGTCGGACGGGGCTTGGCAGGGCTGGATGTAACCTGGGAGATGTTGGTCAATGTCAATTTCAGCCCCCCCTCCTCCCTCCACCATTGCAATAGGCGAAAGGCCATTGGTGACTAAGTGCAGCCTCTGTCAGGAGCCCCCTGGGCAGCCCCTGTGGGTGTTGGGAGTCCCCCATGGGCAGCCATGTTGCATGTTCTGCCTTCCCTTCATTTCTTGCAACTGTAAAAACTGTTATAGTGAAAAAAATTAAGTCCTTCCCCCTTCCCCCCTGCAAATTCTGCCAAGCCTAGTTGTGCAGCACTAGCAGGGGAGCTCTGGGCACCTGCTGGCAGAGCGAGTGTCTCATGAGGGCTGGGAGCCTGTGTTTGGAGCCAGGCTGCTGTGTGTAGACTACACCGATAATTCAAGTGCAGACAAAGCAGCTGCGTAGGAGCGTAGGCCTGCTTACCGCAGGGCAGGGCGGCCGCTGAGCTTGCCAATAGGAGCTAGCTAATCCCTCCTGGATGACTGAGCCGAGAGTTTAGTTTCACAACTCTTAAGATCCAGCCTTTCAAAACACCACTGAGTTTGGGTGCCTTAACCGTAGGGTGGATTAGCCCATCTACAGACCTAGGCTCTGACTTGCAGACGTCTACAGCTCCAGCTGCAGCACCTCTGAGAAATGACTCTCTCTCTCTCTCTCTCTGCTTGAGCACCCGCTGTCGCTGAGTGGGTGTTGCTCAGAATCGGGACAAATAACAATCTTCTCAACCCTACAAAATCCTCTTCAGGGAGTTGGCAGTAGGTGGCGCTGCAGCCCCTCTGTGCGTGTGAACAGCGGGCGCCTGGACCCAAACCAGAGCAATGGATTCCGTTCCTCACCACGCGCCCTCCCGGAAGCACATGAAGTTGGACAAATGGCTAATTGTCAACATTGTGGCAGCGTAAACAGCCTGAGCGGGAAAGCAAAGCGGCTCTGTCTGTTCTCCGGGCTGGCTCCATGGGGTACACCTGTGCCTTTTTGCCTCTAAGCAACTCCACTTGTATGTCTCGTTGAGCTGCAGTGTTCTGTGATCAGAACCCCTCCTAACAGCACTGCAAATAATCCGGGGATAGTGCGTTTAACGGGCCCCCCTCTGGCAGACGTAGCATGTAGGCAACACTTGAATATGGGGCACCTGTTCCCCCCCCCCCCCCCGAGGAAACCTGAGCGTGTGCCCAGAATGCACCCATTGCATTTGATCCCTTTCCTCCACAACCGCCAATTTCAGTCCAATGGTAAATTGGCTCAGAGCCAGTTCTGAGCCTGAATTATCCCCGTCCTGAAGACCAGCCCCTCCAACTAAACCAAACCCGTTTGGCAGAGCCCCCGACAGTGATCAGTTCTGTGGTGGTACATGCGTGAAAGGGTTAACCTAAATTGGACACTGCCCGGATTGAGATTAGGGGTGTCAGTGTGTAGACTACACGATGAACCAATAAACCTGGGCTTATCGGTTAATTCTGTCGACTTACGTGCACCCCCCCTTTGCTGTGAGCTGGTGTTGGGGGCGTCCAATCCTGTAGAACAGCCTGCCCTCTCTTCCCAGCTGCGCTACTGCCTCTGATAGAGAGGCAGCAGCACAGAGGGTGTGGGAGCTGGTACATGTGGGGAGCCAGCTCTCAGCACATGCTGGCTCCGTGGAGCTGCCTGCCTCTGAGGCAGGGGGGAGGGGAGCCCAGAGCCGGGGTGCAGGGGTGCCGGCTTAGAAGCCCGCTTCCCCCACTTCCCGGTGCC